AAAGAATGATTCAATATTGATCACTTAAAAAAGAAAAAAAACATACGACACTGAAGTTAAGACAACGAATAGCAAGATTCAAGTTTTTTATGTCTTAGAAATTTATAAATCTCCGTACAATTATTTTATTACATTGACTAATCACTACTGTATATGCTCAAAATAGAACAAGAACTTACATTTATTCTTAATTACATTTCTTTAAATGTATGTACAATCACAGATAAGAAGAAGTTACTCAAAAAAAAACAAAACAAATATTCGATATTGATATTTTGTAATATTAGGAGTAAGGTACTAGGATTTTATAGTCTGTAATTAATATTATATTCACTTAAAAAAAAAATTATTTTCATTAATTTTAAAGAAGACATGATACATAAATATGTTTACTATTTATCATCTGATCAGAAAAAAAAATTATATTTTTGCCAAACAAGGAGATTTATGTTTAATTGAAAAAATATATAAATGTATGAATTCCATAGAACATATAATTTAGCAAATCATTGTTGAATATATTGAAATAATATTTTTATTAAGGTATAGGAAAGAAAGACAGAAAGAAAGAGAAAAAGTATCGGGTCACTGATGTAATGTTTTTTTTTATGTTCTGTCAGATATATTTTAATTTTACATATATATTCTTACATTCCCTCATAAATACTTTTACTCTTCCTTTTTGCATAACTTTAAACCTGAATTTTTTTAAATAGGCATTTAATATGAGACAATACCCATATGATTGTAAAAGAGTCATGTATTTGTAACGCTTTATGTCGAAATAACGTAATAGATATAATTTTTCATTTTCTTTAGTTTTATATTTCAATATCTGCTAAGAATCAATCCAACAGTCGGATTCCATCGAATCGTATCAGTTCGTATGAGGATTCTCTAAAATCCAGTAGAAATCTATATGAATATTGTTGGAAACTCGGTTACGCAATCACATTTGAATCTCTAGTGTTAGAATTCGATCGAATCCTAGTGTCAGAAACTGATCTAATCCTAGCGTTGGAATTTAATACGAATTAAATGAGCACGAGTTTCATCAATAGAGACTAAACAATTAATTCTAAATTTCGAGTACTACGTCGAACTCACTTTTTCGGATCGTCTATGTATAACTCACTCATGATTTGTTTACTTGCTAATGACCATGGAAGTGAACCGACACCCGTATATATAAAGATGTGGTCGCTCACGTATATCTTGATTTATGGATATCTATCTGATCTAACTGCAAACATTTCATTCACCTAAGTAGAGATGAATCAAGAGCTCTTGAAAACAGAACAAAGAGATTGAAATCTAAAAAAAAAAAAGTCAGAACAAGTCAAGCATCGGATTCCATCAGATCTTGTTGAGTGGTCGGATCTTTCACGATTCATTCATATGGAGTGAATTTCAGAATTCTAAACTAAACTTAACTATTTAATACAATTAATATTTGATCGTTGTGTCAAAAAATAGAAAAGTAAATTGAATGTACTTTCGATAATAGTGAGTCATCGACTGTTAGGCAATTTTATTACACATAGTTACATAACAGGCAAAAACTCAATATGTCATACACGAGTATGAATAAGTTTGTACTTAATCATATTTAAACATCACAAGAAAAGGAAGAGTTTGGCATATTTAGACATCCGAAAAGAAATAAAAGTAAAATTAAGTAACAGTAGTTGTTCATTTATAAATATTTATCTGATGCAATCAAACTTCACTTGATTAACTTATTAGAATAGTTTTCAAGATACAAAAAAAAAACATTGAAGTAATCATTTTAGAATATTTGAATATTTGATATTTTAGTCTTTGAAGTAAGAGACGTCGATCCAAGAACTTCAACAAAAAAAAAAAGTTGCCATTTGTCAATACAGACATTTTGAAATCTTTGTGTGAAAGATTTATTGGAAATAACGGTTGATTCTCATGTATTTTTCTTTTGTCAAATTTTACAGAACTGTACATGTTTTATTTTGTGAAGAATTATTAAATTAAAACCAAGTCCTGACGACAACAGTAGATATATAATTATACAAGCGTTTCGATAAAAAAGAGAGATCAATTCAGTCAACGTTGGATAATTTTGATTTTCTTTCTATTTTTTTATTTCGCAGATTTTGATCAGCTGTTGTCAAATGTTATTCATAATTTGCATTTGTATAGAGGTTGCCTGCCCCATTATCCCAACTATTTCGGGGTGCCCCCTTTGTGATTACTTTCGTATTGAGTTATTTAGCAGATTCAGAGCATATTATATCACAATCTATTTTTACAATCGTTCGTTTCGTAAGGCACCGATGTTTGATATGTGTCATAAAATGCAAGAAGTATGTTCTGTTTATTTAGTCGCTAATAATAAGTTTTTTCTTTCGTTTTTGTCACTTCCTCTGGGATCCCTATTCGTCTATATGACAACTTACTGTTTCCTATTTTGGTATGACTTGCAATTCAGTGAAAATAAATGAAGAAATGCGATTTTTGTTGCTAGGTAGAGACACAAGTTAAAGTTCTAAATTTGCTTTTAATTATTGTATTGTATTTGAGACCAGTCAGATTAAAATGCGTCGTACGTCTTATAATTCATAACCAGATTTAACTCAATCATCTTTCTACGATAACATTGTTCATTTGAGTAGGTAATTATTAGTCAATGATATTATCATGGTTTTGATCGATTCAAAATTTCCAGTATTTCACTGAATTCAAGGAATGAAATAAGTTTTAATCAACAATTAATTCTTGCGTATATTGCCGTGTATTTCAACAATTAAGTGCAATATGTAGACAAAATTAACATAAGTTATGAAGAAAACACAGATAAGTACATGAAACTTGTGTTGTTCTTTTAAATAAAAAATCAACCAATGCTGATTGGTATATAAATCAAGTTGTCTCTCAAGTGATGAAAACCATTAATAAAACCAAAGAAATTCTTTATTCTTATTTTTATTCTTTTATTATCGTTTCTTATTCTTATAATTCAATACAGCCATTTAAAAATTATCTTGCATCTATGTTTAGAAATTTTTTAAGCTAGATACGCTGTTTTTTTTTGAATATGAAGATGAATCTTATAAAGACTAGTGACAAACACTACCGGTCGCGCTTTTAAATACTATAACGGCATAATAAAAGACAGAGAGATAAACAATATGAATAAGTAAGAGTACATTTTGATCAATATTGATTTTGAAGAATTGATCATAGACAAATGATTAGAAAGTGATAAATGCAAATTACCTCACTAACAATAACTATGAATGCTGCACTTAACCAAAAAAAAGTCCGTATTATTTTATATGCATTCACCTACGAGTTGATATTATTAAGAGAAATGAATCATTCCATTTAGAATAAAATATCACCAAATGTCATGTTCGACAATTAATAATTGTGAATTTGTAATATTCTCTCAGATGACTCACTAACAATCACCGGTTATAAATGTTACATAGAATAATTTTTCCTCATTGAATGCATTATTCATGTTACTTTGTTTAACTAACACTTCAAACCGATAATGAATCATGACATTGAATATTCATTCTCCATAGGTACCTTGACCTTTCAATTATCACTAGTCAGAAAGAGAGATTTAATTCAACAGATCTATATTTTTAATATGATTACTTTTCTCTCATTAACTTCTCTTTTTCAAATTTATTTTGAATGAATATATATAGTCAATAATTTCCTTACTATTTTGAAAACCCTAATGAGAATTCTACTAATGAATTTTGATGAAACACTAATGGTTAGCAGCTCAGTACTGAAACTGTCATAATAAAATCCGATTAAGTTTCCCAACGTTACTGTTATCATTGTAATCGTTTTTATCGTTGCATCACTTTTATACCAAATTTCGAAATATCAATTTGGTAAACATTAAAATTCTATAAATATCTTAATATGTTTCAAAATCCACTTAAAAAAATTGCCTTCATCGAACACATAGATAGATATTTGAGTTTTGAATGTAAGTGACAATAGTAGGTCTTCATCTTCATATAATCATAATATAGGTTAAGTTGTTTTCATTGAAATAGTAAAAAATAGTCTTTGGTGTTGGATCTTAGGACGGTTGTTTTCACTTCTGATACAGCAGTACCAATTTTCTCCTTTTTCTCTTCGTCAAAGACAATTAAACTTTTTGTGTTCGCTTATTTGTCTGAAATTAATCATTACAAAATCATGAATAATACCTTATTAATTTTCTATAGAATATTGTTTCTTTTTTTCTCTTTTTACAATATGATTCACTCATATCAGTACAAAGTACAATCATAAATTGTTTTTAGTTTAATTAATCTCTGACAAAATCATTACAATTTTTTTATGACGACTCTGATAGTCATTGATTATATAACAATTTTGAATATGAATTCGATTATTAAAAACTATTCTTCTTTTTTAGAAATTTTCTATTGATTTATAATTTACTATGTTTCTTTGCTTCAGTTTTCATCATAAAGAAAATCGTTATTTTTTATCAATATCAAGTTCTAAAAATTGAATTATGTCATAGTTTTTTTCCCAACATAATCAAATTAGTGAAGCATAAAGTATGATGAGTAAACATGGAGATAGATTATATTCTAGATTATTAAAGCAGTATTATTTTCGATAATTAATATTGATAAATAAATTTACTTAATATGTTAATCTCATTTACTTATGATTCACTAATATGAATATATCGGAATTTATTTTAAGGTATCCATTGTAAAAATTCAGAAACAGATGTCGACACAAAATAAAAAGTTTGGCTGCTGTTCACAGAAGATTCTAGTGAAGAAGTACTCTCGAAAGGAAAAAACTTAAAACTGTCTACTGCGAATAAAATTAGTGAAAATGAGTAAAAAAAGGGATAATGAATCATTCAAAAGCAGTTATATATTGGTTTGTTCTTGTTCTTATGCAATAGTTTCAGATTGGCATAGATTCATTTTTCTTGTTCGAAAATATTTCTTTTTTGAATAATATTATTCATGGCAACGTCAAAAGAACCACATGATTCATTTGGAGGATTGAAGATAGGCAATAAAGATACTATCAATATTAGCTTATTTTGTGAATTATGTAAATTGTTATTACTTGATCCAATACAACTCTTATGTTGTGGTACTCGTTTATGTCGATGGTGTTCAAAGAAGGGCTTACTAGATAGGTGACTATTTTTAAGTTTGATCTGAACATATTTCATATTAATGAATATGTTTGTTTATAGTAAACCATTTATCTGTTCATTTTGTCATACAAAACAAGAACAAAAACAAGTAAACTAATTCATTATTTGTCTGTATGAAAACAAATTTCATTGTTAAATAGGCACATGCTGATCGAGGAGCTGAACGAGAACTAAATATGATTAAAATTGACTGTTATTCATGTTCTTGGAATGGATTATATAATGATTATAAAGTATTCTATTTCTTTTCAAAATTTTACCAATGTCTTCTAAACATATGAAAGAAAAATTGCTGAATTTTTAGGAACACTTAGGACAACAACATGCATACTTACAATGTAGTGATTGTTGTGAACATTTTTTCTCAATAAATTTATATGAAGAACATCGACAAGAGATTTGTGAATATCGATCTATATTATGCGAGTTGCCTGGTTGTATGGGTCTCGTATGTTCTATTGTCCTATTGAATAATTTCGAAAGATTTGTTTCTTTGTTATTAGATAAAATGGACTAACATAGGAACACACTACTTATGTGATACACATCAGAAAATGTTACTTGAAGTTATTATTCAATATATTTTTAAGCACAAACGTTTACCTAATAAATCCAATTGTTCAGCAACTATAACTAGCGTTGTTAGTGATATGAAACAAGAATTGATTACTGTTCAAGAAAACGTTAATATTCTTTTACCAGAAGTGGAATGTTCTTTGAACAATTGCACACGATTGAAGTCTGAACATGATCAAATAAAAACAACATGTGATAATTTAATTCAACAAAAAAATACAGTAGGAAAAATGATCAAAGATGATAATGAAAAAGTTAATAAGTGTATACAAGAGCAAAACGATATGGAAAAACAAATAGATGATACTAAGAAATTACAACTCTATACTAAAACTTTGTCATTAGATACTGATAGTACAATGACATTTTCTTTTATTAAGCATCCTCATGAAATAAATTTACCGTTTTCAATATATTCATCACAATTTAAAACATCAATATTTGGATATAATTTTATGCTTCGTATATGTTCAACTATTATATCTGGAAATGAAAATCAAGAATATTTATCAATTTACATAAAATTACTTCGGGGAGAATTTGATCAAATCCTTTTATATCCATTTCCTTATAATATATATTTATGTTTATGTGATCAATCAAAACAAAAGAAACATATTGTATCAATGATTAAACCTGATGCAAATCTATTATCATTTGTTCGTCCAACAAGCGAGAAGAATAATGAAGTTGGTATAATTAAATATTGTCCATTGAAACTTCTTAAAGATGCCAAAAGTAATTATCTAAAAGATGGTATCTTTTTCATTCGAATATTTATTGATTT